GCGGTGGCGTCGGAGGAGGGCCTGGGCCGCCGGCGCGGGTTCGGTTGCACTTTTTGTTTTCGGGAAACTTTGGTGGTCCGGGCGAAGTCGTGCCAGCTCTGTCGTAAATCAGCGCAAGGTACCGCGGGCAGCAGTGTGGTGTCTGCGGCGGCCTGGGGGGTGTGGAAGGACGGCTCTGGCAGCGTTTGGGCGGGAGGAGGTGTGTCTGGACTGACACGGGCTGCGGGGAGAGTGGTGGAGGTCTGCAGAAGGCTGTCCGGTTTCTGTGGGGCTGGGAGATGCTGTAGGTATGGAAGGCATTAGCATGCACGTAAAGTAAGGCACCAAAAGACGGCCAAAGCTTAACTGGCCTTTTGTGTTTTGTTGCTCGCTTTATGATCTTTGAAGAAAGCCTACAATTGCTTTTTGGAGTGCTGTTAATAAGTACAACCTAAAAACTACTTTGACTTAAGTGTAGGGGTGGAAAGATGCTTGCTAACTCTTAAATTATTTTTGTTACACTTGTCTTCTCCTTAGGCTTTTATTTGAGTATGTAGCACTTTCACCCTGTTCTACTGAGAGCTTAAGATTCCTTATGTGTAATTTTGAGTCATCCAGGAAACCCTTAAGACCCGCCCCTGTAAAGAACAAAACCAAATTGGTAGTCTTTTATTGCAGGAGTTGTGATAGCTTGGTATTTCAGAAGGTGGGGGCTCAAAAGGAATAGGGCTTCTATTGATGAACGTGTCATGTTTTCATCATAAGGAAGAAAAAAAAAAAAAGAAAAAAACCCTGGTGTTTTTCTCCTTTCCAGGTCACCTCTAAGGAAAGAGGATTTAGAAAAATACAGGCTGTTATCAGGCAAGTGATGGAGATATAAATTATGTGAGGCAGGGGCAGAACTTGTGCAGCCTGGAAGGTGAGGATGAGAAGTTTCAGTTTGATGTAGAAAAAGGATAAAAGTGAGTTGGGGAGGGAGGGAAAGTTGTCTGTCTGTTTTAGAAAAACTGAAGATGGGAGAGGTGACAATGGGATGATTTAGGTTATAATTTAGAACAACGCCTGTCAAGGAGGCTAGCAGTCAAACAATAAATGCACTCCTGAGAAGTAACAGGAAGGAGGTAGATTTTTAGGAATACTATCAAGAAAGTATTCAGTTCGATACACTGCCTGTGAATGCAGGGAATAAAAGAGAAGAATTAAGGAATACAAATGAATTGGGGGGAGGAACTATTGTGCAGGAGGGGGGAAAAAGGGAAAAGATCAGGAAGAGTGTTGCAGAATCAACTCCTCTGAAACTAAAAAAATCGCATCTTCATCCGAAGTTTGTAGTCCTATAATATGTAATATTTTATGGTTTTGAGTTCTAGGAAACCATGATATTCTGAGAGTATTCCCTACTGTCTACAGCTGTTGTATCATACCATGAAGTCCTAGTTCACCTTTTTGGGAAATGGCTGTAAGGTGGTATTTATAAACTGAGTTGTGAGTAACTGTTAAATGGTTAATTAAAAAAGGGAAATTAATTAACTAGTGGCCAAAACAGTTTACTGTTATTCAATTGCTATATGTAATGGATATGTGGGGTTTGATGTACCTTTAATGTGCTTGTTTCCTTTCAGCTTTGTGAAATTGTAATTTTTATCTCTGGTCCTTTTCAAAGACTTTTTCCAGTAAACTTGGAGTAGCAGAGTCAAAACAGTAATCTAAAACAATTGAAAGTGTCCCTGACTTCCTTAATAACTAGGACAGCAGGGGAAAAGTTTTAAGTACCTAGGTAATGTAAAAGGAGGTCTGAAGAGAGACTGCAGCTTTCATAGAAGAATTTATTGGGCTTGGTATAGGAAACACTAGAAACAGTAGTGTGAGAAGTGGTAGATGGAGTGGTAAGAAGGAGCCAAGTATTTAGGATTTGAATTTAATTCAGAGTGTAGTATAATTTCAATGGAAGGATTTTGGAGGAACCAAGACCTCAAAATGCAGTCAGTGTAAATAATTTTTCAGTTACATATTGGGTTTATAGAATAGGGTTACATTGGAAGAAACTAATTTTCATTCATCTCTTTTATCTCTGAAGATCATAACTGTTTTCATGTTGTATGTAGTGATGATCAAGGTAAACCTAATATTTCAGATTAGTGGACGCAACCTGTGGATGAATCACATGTAGGGATTCCGAGGAGTTGAAATGCCTCTACTATCCTGTTATTTTTATTGCTCGTGATGGTTGTTTTCCTGGGTAAGAGGAAAAAGTACATATGCAAAAACTTAAGACTAACTGTTAATGGATTATAACTTAACACAAAGTGCATACTTTTAAATCAAATTCAGATCTCTTGGTGAAGGATGCAGAAAGTAGCTTTTCAGTGAAAAGACTTTAATTTGATCCTAATAGTCATTAGGAGAGGAAAAAATAGGGGTTTCTTTGTTTCCAATACCTTGGTGGTCACACTGAGATTGGTGATGTACTGTTGTATCAGGAATAAGGTGTTGCTGCAGATCTGAACGTATGCACTGCTTTGTATACAAGGGTCAGAGCCCTTACAGCAAGTTCTTCAGTTATGTGTTTGTGAGAGAACTGTTGGCTGCTTCTCTTGACTCTTGGATTGTGGATCTGTATGACTTACAGGGTTTTTTTTTCCTTAATAAAGCAATTTCTATTTCTCCAGTGTAAGGAGTGTCTTGATAGCATCTCAACATTGTTGCCTGGGATTCATCTTCGTGTACTTTGTGCTCCATTCTCCTTTATTTTCTGTGCATAATTTCAATCTGGAAGCAAACCACACATTTGTAACAAAGATGGTAAATAGCTGTTAAAGTATAAGGAGTTTATTTCAAGTTTCTAGCTAAGGATTTCATACTTGCCTGAAGGATTTGCTACAGCATAAATAAAAGATGCACGAGAAGTAGGTGTGACCATGAAGTGACACTCCATTCTGGGAGTTCTCTTGTCTGCAACGTTTAGGAGACTAATCCAGATGATTATCATGATCCTTTCTGGCCTCAAAATTGGAATTTCAATCCCTCTTGTAATTTTTTTTTTCTTCTAGCTCATGTTTAAATAATGGGCCTAGATAATAGTCTTAAATACCATCCTTTTCTGCTTACAGAATTCTTTGCAATCTATAGTAAAGGGCCATATTCTTGGACTAATGTGCGCACTTGAAGGTAGTGGTTAGTGGTCTGTCTAAAGGGCGAGGTGTTATTATTTTAATCCATTTATTCGTGTTGTTTTAATGCATAAATTGCAGAATGATTGGAATTCCCATTTAAAAATTGAAACTATGTGGCAGTGGTTTTCTATATACTGTTAATGTTAAAACATTTGTCAAGATTTATTTAAACTAAATTGCCAGATTACATGAAATGTCTTAGAAATTGTCACTATTACTCTGAGTGCACAGGGCAAACTTTTCTTGAAAGTCAATCCTAATGCATTTGTCAAATTTTAACAGGCAGAGGCTATTTGATATGATATACATAACTTCTAATGTGAAAGCAATTTTTACGGGAATACCTAGAAATATTATATTGTGGATGGTATTAGGATGTTGAACCTTTACAGTGAAATTCTTGTGCCCAGTGTGCCAAGATCGTGAACTGAGTCAATCCTCCTTGTGTTTTCAAATATAATTTTGGAAATGCGCAAAAGTTTTTTGTGGGTTTTTTCATCTTTCCTGTTCACTTAAATCCTATAAATTTTCTGTGTCTCGGCACTGTTTGACAATAGTTCTTCCAGTTGAACACTTATAATTGTTTCTTCTAGCTGCCCTGTGTAGCACCTGTCATAACAGGTATTCTGGCTTCTTAATGCATTTTTCAAACATTTTCATTCTTCTAGGTAACTTTGAAGATAAGTTGTTGAGCGTGCTGGCAGATTTTGGTGCTCTGTTTGATTAAAAATGTAATCTTTTAAATTTTTCCTGTGTCATTTGCTTGTCAAATACAATTTGACTTTACCTCTCCTTTTTTTTTTTTTATAGTTATGTTTGTAAGCAGAACTAATGTGTAAATTCAGTTTGGTTTTAAGTTATATCTGTAACTACATCTTGTCAGTTTGCTATTTTATAGCTTTCTGTAATAGCTTGCATGTTATTGCCAGGACATCAGTTGGCTGTGATCCTGTACTACTTAATCTTCTTACAGAACACTTGACTGGGTCTCGCTGGAGTTGCTGTTAGAATATATACGAGAAAACGAAACTAATAAATAGTTATCTTACCATGCAGTCTTTTTACTGTGTTGGTTGAGCAGCTGCTTTCTGAAGTCACAAAATTTGAAAATAGTTATTAAACATGTATTGGCCATAATGAAGTCAGTGGCAAGCCCATGTTGATAGAAAACCTAAACAATACAAATATTTGAGTGATTAAAAAAAAGCTTCAATATGGTCAAATTAAAAAAAAAGTTGTTACTTTTATAATAAGTGTATCGTCAGATGGTCTCTGATTTATTTGCTTGTGAACATAATCTAGTCAATCTGCTGTCTTCAAAAAACCAAATGCTTAGCCACGCATCAGCTTTTTCCTAGCTATGTCATTGCCTGTATCTACCTTAATGTGAGCTGTAATGCTAAAATGTACTCATATTTTTAAGCTTTATTCTCTTGTCTGCAGTTGGATTATGTGTGGATTGCTCTTGCAATTGGGTATACCAAGGCTTCAGAATGGTGGGGTTTTGTTTTGTAGGCGTTTTTTAAAGCATGTTCTGTGGTGCTGATTTGTAGTGTTCCTTATACTGTCTAAATTAAAGACAACTCCTGCTCCCTCCTTCCCATGTATTTGCCAGCTGTCCAGAGTGTGGTCACTTTTGCCTTCTGTTTTTTCAATATTCAAAGGTGTTAGTGTAAATATTTTAAATAATCTGCTGCAGGCTTGTGCAGGTACATGCTGAAGAATCAGTGTAGTGGTAATTTTAGCATAATTTAACTTTTGAATTAGCATGCTTTATTTTCCAAATAAATAGTAGTTGGTTGAACTGTGGTCGCTATGTAGCCCTCCTTGATAGAAACTAGAGCAAGATCATATGACTGTTTTGTCTTCTACTCTTGCAATTCCCTATTTAAAGGAGACAATAGAGTTGAAATTGCAGGTAGACTTTAAAAGCAATTAAAAGATAAAATACAGAATTGTAGTTGGCTTAAGAAATTACTTATACTATCAAGAGAGGAATACTGTTGCAACTAAATTTTCTCTTTGCCAGAGTACTGATTTGTCAGAAAAGTGCTAGCAATTGAGGCTCTAAAGTTGCAAAACAGCAAATTCATGGGTTTTCTATTTCAGTTTCCTGAACTATCAGCTGATTCTGTGGTAATTTTTTTTAAAGAAAAAAGCATATGCAATGGTTTTATACATAATTTTCAGTAGGTCCTTTCATTCCAGTTAGCACGTGTGGTGTTTGTGTTGGTATGAATCTTTTCCTTCTCTCTTTGGAAGCACAGGCACTGATTTAGGTTTATTTGCACAATTAACTGTTGATACTTTAGGAACCAAAGACACAGGTTCAGATTAAGACCTTAATGCTACAACCTAGGCAATGCAATTAGTGCAGTATGGTCCTTGATCGATCAAGACCTTTATTCTGAACTCCTTAAACTTGCACTGGATGTTGTGCACTGTGAATAATCTCACTGACTAAAGTTGACACAGGAGTAAATCTTTGTAGGAGTGGAGTTCAAACGGATAAGATATGCAGAGTAATAAACAGCATAAAACACTTTACAGGATTTTTCATGGTACTTTGACAAACTATGTACTGTCTCTGCATTTATCCAGTCTGTTTCTTCTACTTGCGCTGATGAAGCATGCCTCTCTTCATTGCCCTACCTGAAGGAATTGTTTTCTTCCTATACAACATAGTTAAACTCATTTTTTTCTGAAAGAGGACTTTCCCTGGCTTCTGGTTGAAGTCTATCAGCAA